CCCCCCCCCCTGCGTACGCCCCTGCCGGAGAATAAGTCTCCCATCCCGGGGACGAGCCCGTTGGAAGCACGCGCAGAAGAGGGGGACCAAGGACCACGTCACGTCGCGAGCGTAACTCAGTACGTAGCGAATCGGGTTGACAAATCGAGAGTCTTGATCACTCACAAAGAGAGAGAAGTGGAATGTAGAGGGGAGTCCCACCGATTCAGCGGATAGCCGGAAACTCGAAGACTCTCAACTTGCATCATCAGGTCCTTCGGATCAGGTCTACCGATCTTCTTGCTGATTTCTCGCTCGAATCATAATTATAATGATTGGTGTTCGTTCCCATCTGAGCTATACTGATGCCTTCCAGCACCGCGAACGAGTGCGGTGGATATTCGAAGATGTTTAGTCGATAATCGTGGAGCCTCCCGGAGAAGTTCGCTCTGGGGAAAAATAAGGGCTTGACGGCAAAGAGGGTCTGATTGAAGGTCACATTTCAAAATTCAATACATTGCCATTTCATTCGGAGAGTTCGATGAAATTAATTGTCCTGTACACTAAATTGGTATGAAGATTTTTTTTACACGATGGGGAGCGCTCCGTGATGACTCCTAATCACTGCCTCTGTTCCGATGTCTGGGCTCGTAAAATGGCACAAAAAACGCGCATGGTATCAGATAGATCTGCTGAGAGTCGGTCTCGAAGCAAGTCCGATTCCCTGTCACAGTGTTTATGCTTTCTATACTCCAGGGACCCACAAGCTCGTTCCAACTGCAATAGTACAACGTTCCGTCCTGAGCCATGCGGAAGCGTCCGTATAATTCATGGTCTAACGGTGGGAAAATCCGCTCGATGTACCTATTCCTAGTGTCCACGATTTCGTTACTCTCCAAACAATAGATATAAATGTGGTTTCCGTAGGCGCCACTAAGGAAGTGCCCTGTTCCTTTAAGGACTGTGCATCTGGCGAGATCGTCCCTCGATACAGCGCTGAGAATCAGACCGTTCGTCGATTCGACTACGAAGGCGATTTCTTCGTCGTCTTTTCGTTGGATTTCGAGGGCGAAGATCTCATGTGGACAGAGCGCGACTCTCTTCAACGTCTTCGTGTTCGTGTCTCCGTCCAGAACCTCGAAGATTTCATGATCGGTGAAAACGAACACTCTGTCCCGAAATATTGTACAGCCGACTCCACCCCCGAATGGGAGCAGCATTTCGTGCTGCTTCCCACCTGTGGTCACGTCGAAAACGAGAACTTTCTTGCGGTCTTCTGCGATGGCCCAGAGCGAATTGTGATAGATGATCATTCGGGTGTGGAGGAGACCGCCGAAGTTGAGATTGTGGGCTATGTCCCGGCCGGTGAACACACAGCGTAATTTCAGTTGTGTTTCTTCCGAGTTCGGTATCGGTAGCTCGAATAGAGCGCACATGTTTCTCGTGCCGGCCATTTCGCCGCGGTCGTCTGCGAAAGAAATAAATTTCATGAGCCTCGGGAGTTATAGCTCTGACTGAGAACCTCCCGCAGCAGCCGGGAAGGGGGATGATCTTCATTTCTGAATTTCCCATGAATCAACGAGAGTCGGATCCAGACGTACGACAGCGGTTCCAAGATGCATTCGGGTCCGGCATCTCAGAATTCCTATGGATGGTCTTTTCCGTGGTCTGCTTCTTGTTGGAGTCGTCGTAAAACTCACGTTTTTCCGATCTGCTACAGGTGGTTACGGAAACGCTGCACCTCTCGCAGAAAGTGCGAGCCACAAACTGATTCGTTCGCACGACGCGTTGACGTTCGAGCACGCACATCAGCGGTGTCAGACTTCCACTTCGACGAAGCCGAATCCTCTCTCACCCCAACCTCTGTTGCGCGCAAGCGGTAAGCCCCAACTCGCCGCGACCCCTTCGGCCGCGGCCCAACTCGCCGCTACTCGAGTGGTCTCGGCCCAACTCGCCAAGGCCCGTCTGGCCGCCCCGTCCATCTGACCGCGGCCCAGCCCCTCGCGAGCGACTGGTGCACGCGCGTTCATGTTGACTGTATTCAGGAGAGCTCGATTTTCATTCCAAGGGACTGCGCCTCGATTACCGAAACGAAGGCAGAAAGCAGCGGGTGTGATCCGGGAGAGCGACCAGGCGGTCTTTAAGGGAAGGCGGTATACGATCAATCGACCAGAGTGGTGTACTCCTCCCCCATGTGCATCTTGCCATCCCCGGGGACGATCAAGTTAGGAAGATCGGCCAAGTGGCAAAATTCTTCCTTTCGCTAAGGGATTTGAGAGTTTCCGAGAAGTCGGACATGACAGCCGCAGGCTGCGCGCTCGCGCGGTATGGCGCTCGGACCAAAACCGGCGCAGCGCCAGCGCGCGTTCGTCACTGGCCGCCAGCGAATTTCCACGATAATTTCGCTCTCAGCGGCCTATACCCAAACGCAAACGCGAATGGAACCTCGAGCCCGGTCGGGGCCGGCTGGGGCACGCCGACTCGGAGGGAATTCTCCATCTCACGGCGGCTAGAATGCGTGATTTACTACCCATTTAGATCTGGAGGAAGCTTCGGCATTTCTGACGGTCTCATCACCTGCATTTAAGCTCATTCCGTGATGGCTCTCGGCGACCGGAGCTGTTTCGAGACATTTGACAATGGAAGTCGTTGTCCAAACTCGCTCTCAATGTTTCCAAGGATGGCTGTGGGGAAATTCCTCAGTCTGTCCGTTTCGATGTCTCCATTCATATTCGCGTTGTGCTGAACGACAGTCATGGAGTTAATGATCCTTTTTCACGGCTGTAGCAATTACGGTGAGAGGTCACGGCCGACGGAAAATCCCATAATGTGTTCGAGGTGTCGAGGGGAAAAATTCCGGCATGACAAGGGTTCCCTCCACTGATGGAAAGCATGTGTATGGCTGGATATTTGGGGTCACGGTTATGAGGAAGAACTCAAAAGGGGTCTCTCCGGAATTATTCCGTGGAATCCGGATCGAAGAGGTGCTGCTGCTATCTGGGCCTTCCCGCGAAAAAGGCTTCAGGGATGCCTCGCGCTCTGGGAGGCGCTCTCCGTAGATTTCTCTTCCTAATGACCCCGTGTTAAATTTCTTCCTCTATCATTTTTCACCCATTGAGAAGAGAGATCTGAGAGAAAAAGTCACAATTGTCTGATTGAGAATTACCCTTGCATGAATGGGGGGATCTGCGGAAAAGGATCGGATATCTAGTCGACCCTGACTCCTCGACGAAGCAGATCATCGGAGCTTGTTTGAATCAAAACGCGGCCGACTAAATGCTGGGTTGGGGTGCCACCTCAAGCCTAACTTATTTATTTGCTTTCCCATCTCGCGACTGACGGATTGGAGCAACCGCGGGAAATGGTTCAATAATAAATTACACTGTTGTTGTTTCTATGTTGTTATCATTACATACGTCGCATTCGGCTCCGGAAGCTTCGATACCACAGGTGTTGTTCAGTTTGGCAAAGAGGTGACTTTGTGGGATTTTTTCTTGCTGTCCACCTTGCTGTCGTCGGCGGAGGTCGCGTCGTCTGTGACCGCGGAGGTTGCGTCGGTGACGTCGGTGGATACGTCGGTGACGTCGGTGCTGTTTTCTGATGTTCCGTCGGAAACCTCCGTTCCCTCAGTTCGCCTTCCCGTGGAAGCATCAGTTGTCTCGGTGGCAGCGGTCGTTTCGACGTCTTCGGCGGTAGTGCTGTCCTCTTGGGTAGCAGCGGAGGTCTGCTCACTTGCGGAAGCCGTCGAACTGGTCTCAGCTAACTCGGTCTGCGTGGAGGTCATGTCGGTGCTCGAATCAGTCATTTCTTGAGCAGATGTCTGGGTACTCGCAGCAGATGTTGCTCGGGAGGAGGGACCGGCGGTCGAGGGCTCTTGAGTGGAAGAAGCCTCTGTGGCCGGCTCTTGGGTTGTCGGGGCAGCGGTGGAAGGCTCTTGGGTGGATGGGACGGCGGTAGACGGCTCCTGGGTCGTGGGCTCAGCGGTGGAAGATTCTTGAGTTGTAGGTGCAGCGGTGGATGGCTCCTCGGTCGTGGGAACCGCAGTAGAAGGCTCCTCGGTCGTTGGTCCGGCGGTGGTGGTGTCGTAGGCGGGATCACAACCAGCCAGCCATGGGCTCATGCATTTCTGGAATTACAGGAGGCGGTAAGCTCTTCGGCTCCGCTCGACGGTCAGGCCATTCCGCACCGTATAGGCGGTCGGTCCAATCAACCGAACGGATTTCTCGGCATCCTGCTTCCGGTTCCAATAAGGGAAGAATCCCGGCGTCCGGCGATCCCGATAAGCGGAATGCGATGGATTGGGGATCCTTCTTTGGTTCGATGGCTCACCAATTCCGTTTTGCTGAAATGCTCTCCGGGCTTGCATAGGAACTTCCCCGAGAAGAAGAAGCTGCATTTTGAGTACTTGGTACAGTCGTTGGGGTCTGGTACCAACTGCATGTTGACGGTCAAGTCAGGAGGGCAGTCCCTACTTCCGAAACCAAAACCGAAAGGTTTGGCCTGTGCGCCAATGACCAACAGGGTAAACGCGAAAAAGACCTTCATTTTCGTTGTGTGGATCGTTCGTTCGGAGAGCTCGAGCTGGAATAGAGGGACCAGAGGTTCACAGTGGGTCACTATGCAGGAACGAAAATCCGGTAGGAAATCAAGCAGAAACTGAAGCCCGGGTATCATGCAGGAACGCCTCAAATGTCGACAGGGCCCTCACATGGGGATCGATGATCGCTATTGCTCACCTTAGAACTAGAAGCATAGAATGCTGAGCCTCTATTGGCAAGTTTACATTTTATAGTTTCAGAGCGAGCTTGTAAAGTGGAATCTTATCGTGAGCGTCATTCCGTCACGCTACTCCTCCTCCAGTACACAGACAGATATTTTTGAGTAGTGACGAAAGGAAGATCCGCATAGAAACGCGATGCGCTCACAAGCATTCTTTCCGTTGAGAGCATTAGGTGTATCGTTGATAACAGTTCAGCATTCCGATTTCGAGATAAACAAGCTCCGATCGAGCCTGGCCAGAAAGAAAACAAGAACCCCGCGACGCATCTGTTCCATTGAACAAGGATGGATCGGAGTATTCGCCCGACACCGTGACTCTATGAATTTGTTCGATCAAGGTGTTCACGGCACCAGAAGCGCAGTCCCTTTCACACCCGTCTGTTATCCATTGAAGTTTGGTCGTCGGCACGATTCCCACTGTCGTGTAATGCCTAACTAGCAAACTCTGCACAGTATTTTCCGCCCTGCGACCGAGTAGACCATCACTTGTACTCCGGATGGGCTTCGCAACAAACCGGTCCCGCGCGGCAGTCGAGACCGACGGTTATCCCTTCTGCGAATGAATTCACGATTGGAATTATCATCATCATCATTCATTCGTATTCCACGGGTTGCTCATGTTTGTTCTCGGTATCTGTGTTCCACCCTCTGTAGTTGTCTGCGGCATTTATTTGTGCTTCTTCATACCTATTCGCATCGTGGACACGATTATTTCGTACTGAAGTTCTGATTCCTGATGTATCATGGTGGCGACTCGATTGAAGGCACATTGGCTCTGAGCAAATGGTCTGTTTGACTTACTCTCGGGCACCCTCAGAATTTGTAGTATGTGTTGCATTGTCCCTTGTGACGTGTGGCCTGACGCAGGTTGAAGATCGAGCCGCCGCCGCAATATCTCGCAGAATGGACTTTTCGTGATCACGGACCTTGATGACTTTGGAATGGAGTGCGATCATGCCTGGCGAACATGGAATACTTCGGTCCCCACATTATTATTTGTAGGTCAAGCGATTGCAGACATGAATGTCGAATAGATCATGAGACTCGATCTCGACTCTCCACGAGTCGGAGCCTCTCTCGTTTGTTGACGATTCCCCGCGGGCGGCCCTCGTTATTTGAGATCAGCAGGTATCGGACCTTTGAGCGAGTCGTACATAATCCTCCCATTTTTATTTTCGCCTGACCCAATCAACCCAATTTCGGTATCGGTTCCCCAGCAAGACTTTTCGGTCCACCTCCTTTCGGGGGTCGGTTCTTTTCCGACGTCGACAATTTTTCATCATTCAGAGTTTTTCGAGCATACAGGGTGGTCATTTTTAGTCGGGACTTTTTTTCCCTCTGCTCGTCCCGGCCCTAACTTTTGAACGGCTGGATGAAACTATATGAAATAACCCACCAATCAACAGCTCTCGCCCTGACTGACACGATTCCGTCCCCAGCGGTGACGATTTCGGCCAGTATCACCTGTTGCGGGCGTTTTGGAAATGATCGGTCACTTTTTTCTCGTCGCTCCACGAAAACGCCTCTTTCTCGGCGACCGCTTGGTCGATCGGGCTCAACCTGGTTGCGTTCGACGCGGGACAACCTGGCGGAGGTATGCCATAAAAAAATTCAGGTACCATGTTCCTGGGGGAAACGCGGAAGGGGTAAACTTTGGTTTGAAAATTGGACAAATTTACCAAAATTCCGGGTTGTCGCTAAACTCAGTCGATAACTCCTCAGGGAAGCCGAATTCGAAAATTTTCATGATGGCTAAAAGTGCTTAAAAAGGGCCAATTCACCCGATCTGGGGGTCAGCGGGCTGATCGGACGACTTTTTTTTTCCTCCGAAAATCGTCATCTCGAAATTCTCCTCGTGGAACGCGGAATACCGCTTGGGAGCGCTGATGTTGTGTTCAAGCGCGCGCTCCAGCCTCTCAGCATGCTTCCGAGCGATGGCGCTCTCGGATTTCCAACGGTCGGAATCCGCCGGCATCAGCCATTTTGAAAAGGGAAGAGCCGCGCGAGTCCTCTGTGCATCATTTCGCTGTCGAATTCGGGATCGCTGCAATCTGTGATACGCAACTGCCACAGCCGTGATCTCAGTGAATTCATTGTGTTCTCCGGACTCTCAAGTTGATATCTGCAAGATAGCTGAAGCCGGACCAAGCAGGAACCACCGTTGGGAAGAGATGATCTCCTGGGGCGTCTTACCTTCCACCAAACTGGCGAGGACCGCGTGGCGTTTCAACTCTTCCCTCACACTCTTCCTTTTTCAAAATGGCTGATTCCGGCGGATTCCGACCGTTGGAAATCCGAGAGCGCCATCGCTCGGAAGCATGCTGAGAGGCTGGAGCGCGCGCTTGAACACAACATCAGCGCTCCCAAGCGGTATTCCGCGTTCCACGAGGAGAATTTCGAGATGACGATTTTCGGAGGAAAAAAAAGTCGTCCGATCAGCCGCTGACCCCCAGATCGGGTGAATTGGCCCTTTTCAAGCACTTTTAGCCATCATGAAAATTTTCGAATTCGGCTTCCCTGAGGAGTTATCGACTGAGTTTAGCGACAACCCGGAATTTTGGTAAATTTGTCCAATTTTCAAACCAAAGTTTACCCCTTCCGCGTTTCCCCCAGGAACATGGTACCTGAATTTTTTTATGGCATACCTCCGCCAGGTTGTCCCGCGTCGAACGCAACCAGGTTGAGCCCGATCGACCAAGCGGTCGCCGAGAAAGAGGCGTTTTCGTGGAGCGACGAGAAAAAAGTGACCGATCATTTCCAAAACGCCCGCAACAGGTGATACTGGCCGAAATCGTCACCGCTGGGGACGGAATCGTGTCAGTCAGGGCGAGAGCTGTTGATTGGTGGGTTATTTCATATAGTTTCATCCAGCCGTTCAAAAGTTAGGGCCGGGACGAGCAGAGGGAAAAAAAGTCCCGACTAAAAATGACCACCCTGTATATTCTGCCATCTTGCTGCTGGGGTGGGTTGCTTGATTCCGAATCATCAATCAACCACGAATTCTTCCGTGTTGAAGCTGAAGACGACTTTGCATTGCTCTCACAGCGACTGTATTGGCGGTATTGTGGGAAGAATATGCTAGCGCGTGACGGGACACTTACGGCGGACACTATCCAGCGGGACTTCGTTTCACATACATGCATACACGTTTGCCATCTACCTACTTCAACGAGAGTGAGCGTTCGGAGTGGCTGGGAATCCCCATAGAGGTACGAAGCGGAGAGTCTTCACCAAAGTCCTTTGCATTCGACGATCGTATCGAAATACTGTTCACATGGCGGATCGGAGGCGTCAAGTCGAGCAGCATCCTCTCACTCCACCCCTTGCATTGTGGTATCTGTCCGCCATTCGAATTCGGAGTCCGCGGGACGGAATATTTTCGGCGTGCGACTGCGCGGCCGAACTTCGCTAGAGGACTTCGGTCTTGACTGAGACCTTGTATCAGATCAGATGAGATTACGCGATGTCAGATAAGGTGACAGAGCGGAGGCAAAATACCTTCATGGCTCATAAATCATAGTTTCATCGATATCGATCCTTACGATACCGCGACACTATATCAAAGGACCATATCCCTTCCAACTCGGGGGCGATCCAACCGCACATCGTTCGGATCTTCTGCTCCCATCGCTTCAGTAGTTCCTTGGTGTTTCCCAGCACGCTTCCGACTTCCCCATGGGACTCTGTCTCATTGGAGTGATGGCTCGCTTCGACGAATGAAATCAACGACGCGAAGAGGGCCTGACGCTGACTCTGTTCGAGAGTGGAAAGGCCCTAGTCGGGGACGGAACGGTTGTCGACACTGTACCCTCTTCATATGTCGACGCCGGGAGTCTCACAGCGGGCTCTGCAGGTGCTAGAGCGGAAACGCTCGAGTTCCGGGACTTCGAGGACCTCGCCACGAATTGCATCGTGTGCCCGCCGGCCTCCGTGACGCTCGGTGGCCAGCACGCAGAGAATGCAGGAGAGAGGGCCAGCTGAATGGGGAAGCGACGGGATGCAAACGAGCGCGGGAGTAATTCCACGCTGCAGGGTCACGATGGGGGCTCACTTAAGCCCAAACAATGGATTTTCAGATCTCTGCCTGGCAATGCGAACAATCTCCTGAAGTCCACGACTTTTCGGTCGCCTTGAAACTGTCCGTAGCGGAGCTCGCTGGGCTGTCTCCTAACCGAACTATTATACGATACCGTGAATATTCCGATGCAAGCCGGGGCTTCTGTTATTTCGAACCCCCTCGCAGAGGGGCTTCTATTGGAGGGGAGCTTCTATTACAGGAGAGCTACTCATGATTCTTCGCGCGGTTAGTGCAATGACGGGGATTGGGAAGAAGAGTCTTCAGAAAGGTGGATTTCTCGTGACTTCCGTGACTCGAGGTTTGTTTTGGAACAGAGTTCCTCGGAAATCTGATTCGATTACCCCCGAGAATCCCGCCGCGGGGCTTCTATTGGAGACAGGCTACTATTGGAGAGGGTCCTCGTACTGGAATATTCACGGTATTTGCGAAGAGCCGTGAATCACCAATCGCCTAACCGTACTTCTCCCGAATTTTTACGGGAGAGGGAACACCATTCCTCGAGGTTAGGGAGCGGCTCCCGGAATATTCTCTCAATCGGAGGAAAACATCGAATCGAATTAGGGAGTTGAAAATGAAATAATTTATTGATGAGTCCGTAGATAAAGACACAGAGCTTCCGGAGGATATAAATGCATTTCAATTATATTACACGCATTGGAAAAGGGTATAATATTCTGGATTCGGAACACAAATTAGTAGGGGCGAGGCTCAGGTGCGTCTTCTTCGACGGGGTCTTTCGCTGGGGCTGGTGGGGTTGAGTTGATATGCTTCGTTATGGTGATGACCTTGCTCTGAGGTTGAGGTAAGACTATCCTCGGTACACTGACAGGCTGGCGGTACCATTGAATTGCCGGCATCGGGAGGCTGGGGACTCGGATCGAGGCTTGGAAGTTCGGGTATGCTGCAGGCATCGCTTGGAAGTTGGGTTGAGCTGGAGGCATCGCTTGGAAGTTAGCTTGGACTGAGGGCATTGTTTGGAAGTTCACGTAAGTCGACGGCATTGACTGGAAATTCCCGAGATTCGGTGGCATCGCTTGAAAGTTCCCTTGGCCCGCGGGGATCGCTTGGAAGTTCGCTTGACCCGTGGGCATCGCTTGATATGCGGGACCCATTGGGAACCCCAAGTTCTGCACGGCTACGGTGTTGACGTTGGAAATTTGCTGGGGCATCGGTTGCACCATAGTTCCGGCTCCGAAACCAGCCGCAGCGCCTAACAACGGGGCCGTCACGAGTAACTTCTGCTTCAAGAGCGCGGCTCCCGCCATCTTCATTCCGAGCATCCCTATTCCGGCTTTCAGCGCCAAAGCCTTCGGTATGAGGAGGAGTTTTCCGCCGAAAATCACTGGAACAGCTGCAGCGCTAGCCGCTGGGCCGAGGGGTGGCACGATGAAGGCTCCTGACATCCTGGCTGAGATGACTAAGGTCACGAGCGTAAGTCGGAAGGATGACATCGCGAAAGGAAGTGCTTGATCAGATCGTCGACTCAAATGACCCCGTCCCACTTCTCAACTGTGTTTATTTGAACAGTGTTCTCGAGAGCTTCGGAGAGGAGGTTAATCGACGAGCGGAGGACTCGGTAGCGACCCCCTTGAGCAAACAGACGATAACGAGGGGGTTCTAGAAAATCAAACACGATCCTGTGGCTCAACAGCCTCCTCTTCGCTAATGGTGTGAAGTTTTTCTGCGCCGTATTGGAAATCGAAAAGACTTCAATCGGCTCGGATCCAACCCTGAATCGTTTCTTGAGTTTCCGAGGCGGGCTCGTAGGTCTCAGACGTAGCCGAATGAATCCTCTTCCGGCGGTCCCCTTTTCGGGCTCAGCCTCTGGACCGATCGATGCATTCATCGACTCGGGATGCGGAAGCTCATCGTTGAAACCTCCGAAGCTTCGGATAGGAGCTTCCACCGTCGGAACAAAAAACGGTCTTTTCTGCTCACGTTTATTCGATTCTTCCCGTACATTAACATTTCTCTCGAGATGGTTGGCTAATCTACGGTACATAAATTATATATGAACAACGTGTGGTCTCGCTATCCGTCTCCCCTCCATGGAAACAAGATCAGGAACGTTCCCGATCTCGACCGAAGGTCCGATTCTTCTCAGACGCGGGTTTCATCCCTAAGCGGCGACCGAAGGCACTCCCTCGATGGCGGGTGCAGCAGTTTTCAAGGTGAAGGCAGGATCACATCCGGCTATGAATGGGCTCATACATTTCTGCAAAAAAATTTCCGTCAAGATGGACGATACGTGTAGGCCCGAACAAGAGCTATAAGGTTTTACGCCCAGGACCAATACACACCCGCATGGTAGGGCTGAAATGTTGCCCATCCTTGCAGGTCATCTTGGCCGAGAAAACCGGTCCACACGTCGAGTACTTCGTGCAGTCATTGGGGTCAGGAACCGCTTGCTGGATGGCAGACGATTCGGGAGGACAATCGGGACTGCCGAACCCGAAGCCGATTCCGCTGGCGTGGGCAACCAGAGCAAGAAGTGCGATCGCGACGAGGAATTTCATGGTGGAGTCGTTCAATGCAGGGCGGAATGAGGGAACTGAAATCGAGGGATCTCTTGCTCCGTACCCAGGTTTCTCCGGGAAATCCTGTGAATAGAGCTCTGTCGAATCGAAGCTTACCTGTAGGATTCTTGTATCTGCGAGGAGAATCTTGTTTCTGACAGCTTGAGTGCTTGTTATATAGCTTTCGGGCGGCTGGTCGTAAAATGGAATCTTATCGCCGACGTCTGCCGAGATAGCATCAGCATACCCTATCTATTCAGTCAGCTGATTGTGATGTGTACTAACGCATCGCTGACAGAGTTGGCAAGGAATCCTTAATTCCCAGCGGATTCGAGAGCGTTCCTTGAGCGAGGAGAAAAAACACGCCGGCTCTTCTATTCTCCACGTATGAGTAGACTTGCGATATGAGAGGAAATTCTTCTGCTGAAAAAAACGCGAGGAGTGCGGAAGTTGAATTCTCTATCGAACTTAGTGCTATTCCCTCGGGGATTCCGACAAGCGTACACATCCTCGAAAACTCCAAGGAACGAAATGACTCTGCGAGATGATATACTTCAGTACCTCTTGAATGAAAGAACGAGAGTTTTCCCACGATGACTTCGTGACGATGACTCCACACATTTGGGGCGGTCGGTAGTGAGATGATTGATGCTGATTCCGTCGTGGGAGTTTCCGGGATTTCTATTTCAAAAGCAGGCTCGGAAACAGGATCGCAGAATTGAGGTTTTTTGAGAATTTTTTAATTCAAAGAATTCGGTTCAGGGAATTTAATTTCTGATACCCGTATAGATCAGAATAGATAACAAGGCATAGTTTTAAATTATTATTATTTTATTATTTATATATAATTGTGATATAATAAGGCTCCCCGTCTCTCACTTCCACTTCTGCGTTCTCTGATGAGAGTACGATCTAGTAGGAGTGTTCGGGAATGGTCTCTTCGGGCTCTGGGGTGACGGGAGCTGCGTAGCTGGGGACGATCTTCTTCTCCAATGTGATAGTCGCGCTCGGGTGTTGCTGAAGGACCATCTTGGGCACGCTGATTGTCCTGTCTTGCCACTGGAGCGTCGGCAGGGGTAGATTGGGGACGTTGAACGTTTTTTCGATGTTCACTGGCTGAGCCGGCGCGATCGGGAGATCCGAAGCTTTGGGAATACGGCCGATCATTCTCGACACGAGGAGAGTACCCGCTTCGATGGCTCTTTGCGGGAGATTCATCGCATTGGAAGTCGCACTGTAGCCGGCCATGGCGCCCGATACGGTAGCTGGGATGAGTACTTTCTCCTTGATGGATCTGGCACCAGCGATCTTCAAACCAAGTCCTAGTTTGAGGGCGATTGCGGGCGGCAGCAGCATCATCTTCCCACCGATGGCGATCGGTGTCAACAAGGGGAATATCGCATCGGTCGCCAAGGCGCAGGTGGCCAGGATCAAGAAGAGACTTTTTAACGCTGCCATTGTAGCTTGAACAACTCGAGGTGCTTTTCGAGGCAAGTTGACTGTGTGATGGAGCTCCCGGATATTCGGCTCTTTATACTCGAGCGATTGCGTCTTTCCGGAACTTCCCTCAGAAGTCAGAGGTCGGGTCTTGCACCGTACACGCTCTTTCGGCGTTGGCGCGACTCTCCGTGATTTCATCTCTCAATCCAGGACTAACGCCGATGTCCCCCACTTTCGAAGAGAAATCCGTGCGCGCACTTCCGTCTTCCTAAGGACTTTACGGGGTCTCGTCGATCTATTCAATTAGCCTCGCGGATCAATTTCGGATTGAGTGACATCATATCGACGCGCGCCGCCGTTGAACCCTCGACTCAGCGGAACCCGATATTCTTCGGCGTACGGCAGACGTCATTGAACCCCCTCGAACGACGTGTTTTTTTCTTGTCGATCCCTCGCTCAATCGCATGCGACCCTTTCTTCTGACACATTCGGGTCGTCTCGAGCTTGTGTACTCAACTCGGAAAAAAACAACAAACAACACTTTGAAGGACCCGCCCGTGTGCAAACACGCTGTGAACAAAGTCTCTCGTTGAATCGCCAGCAGTTGGGAGAAAAGGGTGCAGCACCCCCGCGACGATCGCGGGTCATCGGAGTCGCTGTCCGAGTTGCTCTACCCCCGCGGCACTCTGATTGTATCTGTGATCGATACCCGTTATGTTTCCCAATACAAACATGCATGGGCAGTGTATCTCCTGAACGACAGAGCTGAGTAGATTCCCCTGCCGCTTCTCTTACGTCTCCGAATCAATCAATTCCCAGAGATTTATCAAGATTGCCTCCTAACCACGAAACTGTTTCGGCTACTGGTGGAACCCAAGACCCAGAGAGTGACTCCTCATAATCCACCATTTATTCCACGTCGACTCGGTTTAAAGGCGAAGAGCATTAACAAGCAAGTTTCCGTACAGACAATCCGGTCCCTCCGTCTCACAAACAATCTGAACATGCTGGTCAGAATCCGTCCAGTGTCAGACGGGAGAAGTATCTCCCAAAACGTCTTGAAGAGTCTCGACGACTCATTTGCCGGACTTCGACCTCCTAGGATAAGGTTTCTTGCCGGTCGGTACAAAGCTTGGACTTTAGCGCAGGCAGGGACTATCTCATGATTTTCTTAAGAACATAAGGATGGCGAAGAATACTTCCAGGAGGCAACCATCGAGTCCAATGCGTTCGTGGTTTGAATCCGCTTTAACAGAGCGACTCCGTGGCGAAGAAATCGTTTTCGCAAAAACCCGATTACCGACTCAGGAATGCACCCTCTCTACTATTTCCTCCTGAGCGACATATCCGATATCAATATGGGATACGCCACGAGACTTGCACTGCACGCTTGAATCTTCATAGTGAGGCGGGCATTCCGCGCATTGCGCATCGTAAGCTGTGTGTTGAGGTCGACTTCCATCGCTGGCGGTGGTCATCGAGGATTTCGGTAGAACGAAATCTTTCCCCCCCCCCATCTCCTTCGCGATGGAATCAGTTAGCAACAGAGGCGGTCGAAAGTTCAATCATGAAGGCCATGCCTATAGTAATTTTGATAGGTTGCCGGCTGACGGGTCCCCTTCTACTTGGCGATTGATCGACGAGGAATATGCAAGGCCAGAATTCATACGGCAGGCGATGTCGTTGTGAAAATTGTCATTCAGCTCAACCACGACAGCCGACCGGCGCATCTCCTGGACGCGGTTTCGGGAATGGAACGGCGAGCCGTGGACACGGTCGGAAGCACTGCTTAGATCCTACAAGCCACACAACAACCACTCCATGAAAGTTTTGCTCTCAAATATCACGTCACGAGCCATCTCCGCGTCTTTTTGAGTTTGCGCCATCCTCGACTCGCATCATCTTTGGTCTAAATCGATACGAGTGTGCTCATTCGAGGCCAGCCCCATTGCCGGATCGTATCTTTACGTTCAGCGTAAACTCGCGTCGCTTCGGACCGCGTCATTCTTGCTGCGCGACCTCTGAGTTTGCGTCTTTTGAGGCTGAATACACAAATGTAGTTTCCACGAAGCGTCTTAGGATCTGGTGCTTGCTGAGAACGATACCTCAGCAGAACCGGAAGGACTGGTCCTGTGCTCTGTGGAGCGGGATATTGACTCCACGAAACACTCCTTCTCCGCGTTGATTGCTTTCTCGCAAAATTTGCAGGTCAGAACTTTCTCGTCTGTCGTGAACGCTTCGGATCCGAACCCCATCGAATTTCTCCAGTCCACGTCTCGAGCTGACAGCTGCTTCAGGAATCCTTGATTTGCATTCATTGAGCCACAGAACAGAAAGCACAATCTGGATCAGATGAGGCAGCGGTAAGACAGAACAGTTGTTGAGAGCACGGATGATTCCGAGCGTACTGCGCAGGTGCGCCTTCGCAGTTGACGAGTCTAGGTGAGCATATATCGCGAGCCTTCGAGCAGAGGACGAGGGGAGCGCTCATTTCTGAATGAACGAATCCAGACAATCATAATTTCGTGAGATATCAGGGGTCAAGGCAAGGCTTCCTCCTCAGATTCTATTAATCGACGAGACTGACGAAAAAAGCAAAAAGCCAGGGAGAAACCAGGAAAAACAAAGCACCGCGCCAACATCCGGGATAGGCATTTTTAAGGCATTTATGGCGTTTTACCGGGTTCGGGACTTATACAGCGTATACATGTAGGTACATGCGTGTACATGCCGGGTGGGCGGAGCCTGCTTGCCACGCCGTCTCCAGTATATAATGTGATTTCTCCGTGATGAACTTGACTGTGGTGTCTTCCCTTCGTGAGACTTGACTCCTGAGTTCTCGCTCACGCTCCTTGAGCCAGTACGTTTCCCGTTTTCCGACTCCTCGTTCCATGGAAGATTTTTTCGCCGGCGCCACAGTGGTCAAAAATCTATTTTCAAGGAGACAAAATTATTCAGTCCTTTCCCACCCATTACTCGTAATTAAAATTTATAATGTACCCGAAAGCTTGAGAAGAAGTCCCGTGCGAAGGACGCACCGACCCGGGAATTTGCGATTTGTATCGATACGACCGAGGGGAACTTAGTTTGAGGCCGACAATCGGCGAAAACCTGGATTGCTCGTTTGGGACTTTTGCCCCGGCTTGCCCGAATAATTTTTCCTTTTTAGAGCCCGCGAGGCCTCCGCTTTTCAGAGAGCATCTCCGATTTTTGCGCTAGATGAATCACAAAAACATAAGTCCAATTCTTGATGATTTCTGTCCTCCATCGAAGGTATCGTACATGTCCGTACATGCTCTCAGACTCGATGGCCTGGGCTGGCCCAGATATTTTCCCCCTGTTTAGATGCTCGTCGGTGCCTCAAGGCAGGAATGCAGATTTCGTAAAGGGTTGGACCCGCTTCGTTTCCAGAGAGAGATCCTCCCTCTTAGTATGGACATGGATCGCGACGATCGATGCCTGCGATTCGCGGACGAACCGAGTGATCGCGGCATCCTCCCAGACATCCAAGACTTCTTTTCAGTATGAGCGCCGAAAAGCGATCTCTCGAGTGCCAGCAGACGACGTTCCGAGTCTGACTCACGGGCAAGCTCGAGCGCTCTCCACTTCTGTAGGAAATTAGAAGTCGAGCTCAGGTGGCGCGAAGAAAGGGAGGTCGCTATCTCCGGGAGTACCACACAAGAAGGGATAGTCGGAAGCACTCAAACT